GTATGGAAGCGGATAAACCTGGAAAGCGGCGAAAAGGGCGGCGGCGGCGGCGTAATCTGCGCAAGTATAAACGAAGGGTTTAACGCGGTACGTTTCAGGGATTCCGGACGCTCGTAACGTTTTGAATTCAACTTTCAGCCGGCATTGGAAACAGAGCGCGCGTTGGGTCTCCTCGCGATCAATCACGAGATAACCGGGGAAAAGGGAAGCTATTAAACCGGCAGGAGATTTAGGTTCTTGAATGAAGCGCAAGAATACCGAATAATCCCGGGGCCACGTCTTTTCCTCGCGGAAAATGGGATCGCTGCGAAATTGCGAGCAACGCGCTTTTATACTCATCGGCCGAGAATTCCTTCTTCCCCGCCCGCTTCCCATTAATATTCTTTGAATTTTGTCGGGTATTAACGGCATTTTTAAGATACCATCGGTATTGCGAGCGAATTAGCGAAACAGTGTCTACGGATTATTTTTAATACTTTTTTTCTTTCTTTTTTTTTTAATTTTATCGCGAGAAAATTATTGAGAGTTGACGTCGACAAAATTTATAAAAGTAAGAAGGTATGGATTTTGTAGAAGAGAGTAAGAGCAGACGCAACGTGATTCTGAAAATAAAACTTTATTGAATTATGAATTATGGATAAGAAATTGTTGTACATAGTACATGTGAAAGTAAGATAAAAAATATAGAATTTTATTGAAAAAATATACATTAATTACAACAAAGTATATTTCGAACTTGAAGTTAAACTTGAAATTCAAGTTCTTTTAAATTAGTTTTTAAATTTAATTTAATCTATTTGTGCTCCAATTAATCGAACTCATATTACATTTTAGATTTTTTTTTCGAAAAAATTCGCTCTCTTTTGAACGAAAATCGAATCAATTCGAGGCAACCTTTACACCAAATTTTTCTATCTTCATCTTTGCTTCACAGAATTATAGAGATGAGCCGGCCAAGACGATCGATAGTTCTTTTCAGAGTAGATGTAAAGTATAGATTTCAATTTCCAGAGGAGACCACGTAACGGGAACACACAAGGCGCGTCAGTCGCAGCTTGGTCCACGGTTTTCTTGCGCGTAGTACACGCCTCTTCTTCCCGTCTCGACATTATTTATACGATGAAAAAGGGTGAACGCACGCCTCAACTTATGCGCATCCGTTACATATTTTACCGCGACCAAAACGGTAAAACCTTTTTTTTCTATCGCGTAAATGATTAATCGATCCAGAAGGATCGGATCCTAAAAATATCGAGTCTCGAGAGAACGTTCTTCGGAGCCGCGAAAAAATTTCTCACTCGTTTATTTCCGACAACGACTTCCTCCACACGAGGAAGCGAACGTTCGTCACTGGATACTTCTTCGAGAGAACGGCGCTTAATTGATAGGAACGCGACGACCTTAATTATACTGCTATTCCTTCTCCTTCGCTTATTTTTAAAACTCTTCGACGGGATATTAAGAAATAGAGAAGATGGGACAAGGAACGTCGAGAAAAATCTTTAAACGAATATACAGAAGAAATAAATCACTTTCTCATGAAATTTGAATGCAGTTTTAAACTTTCATTCTTAATTTCTATAATAAAAAAAAAAAGAAATAAGAATTTAGAAACAATCTAATTTCTTCTAAAAAAAGATACCATGAGAAAAAATCGAATACCTTTTTAATTAATAACAATATGTGCAAATCGCAGTGAACGTATACGTATATAAATATTTGTATAAATTTTTATCGTTTTCGACACTCAAAAAATATTCTCTCCGTCGAATTCCTTCGTCCCAAGACCGCAATATCACATATATACAATATATGTGACAATAATAATTACTTACGTTATAACGTAGTAACGTTTGGAGTAAATAATGAGCACGTGATACGATACATACGATATGTAAACATACAATATGTATATATTTCTTGCGCGAACAATCATCGAGCAACAGTCGAGAGGCACAGCTCGGTATTTCCGCTCGAGCATCGCTCGCGATATATAATTAATCAAAGCCGGTTCGTGCGGTCGATATCGAAAAGGGACGACTCGAACGAAAGGTAGGCGAGCTTGGCAAGCGTATGACGAGAGGGGAGAAAACATCCCTTGGCTGCGATAAACCGAAGCCTTGTTGCGTAGTTCGTAACAACGCCCGGAAGGACAATAAACGGCCGCGTTTACACGTGTACACGCACACCGGGGAAAGCCAACGGTGACTTAAGAACATGGCTGTTTCAGTGGCGCGCGTCTTTCGCTCGAAATCACTTCGTTCCTCGAAGGTATGCGAAATTTTCCTGCCTGCTTCGTATAATTTCACGAATTACCTTTTGTTAACTAATTCCAACGATTCGGAACACGCAATATTTACGATACAGATATTTACGATACGATACTTTATGTAGAAAAATATAACATAAGTAATGTTCGTATTTGCCAAGAAATGAAATAGAAGAATCTTTGAAAATCTCGTCGTTAGAAAAAAAGAGACGCAAAAAGAAGAAAAATCGTAAGATGGAAATAATTCAAGAGGATTTACAATGTTCTCAAGTTTGAAGCGTTCGAAAAGCGTTGGAGGGAAGGGAATTTGCAAGCGATATCCATTCGATCACCATCGATGGGAAAGTTGGCGCATTAATTGAACGAGACACCGATGTCGTTCCCGGACGTTACAAACTTGGCTACGATCGAGAGGGAGCGCCGACGACCGATTATATTCGCAAAACAGCTCGTGCTTGGATTGGCGCGTCGCCGCCGCCGCCGCACAGATGCTTGGCCTCCTTTTACGACTTTGCCACGTAAACGGAAGCGTCCTTAACAGGCATCCGGCGCATGGTCACGGTATTCAGGGCCGTGGATATTTTCCGCGATCGAACGCGTGTTTGGGAACGACACGCGCTTTTACGATCACCGAAGATCGCGTCTTTTAAAGCGTTTTTCCTTCGTGCTGAAAAGTGGGCCCGCCGTTTCCTCTTCACGAAGTACGACGGGGCGCAATGTGTTTCGTTTAACACGAATACGTCGGTGGAGGAGAGGAGATGCTCGTGGATCTTTTTTAAACGGCAGTGTATCCCTCAAACTCCTTCTCCTCCGACCATTTATCCCATCTGTTCACTAAATATTTATCACGGATTAACACGTGTCCCTTGGTTTTGTAGCTGCTCGGGAAGTCATTAAATACGTGAAATTTTTCTTTCCGTTTTTTTCTCAGCGATATTCGGATCAATTTTGCTATGATTCACAGGCATTGCAATCTCATTCTCGTTGTGAATATCGATGAAAAAAGTATTTAGATCGATACACGATGGAAAATAATTTCCTAATAACCGAAACGAGATATACAATACAATGATTGATAGAACCAATCCATCGAATTCAAATATCAGACAAATCAAATTTATCGTTTCGATTGAATCATTGAAAAAGGGAGCCACGTTTATTTTAGATAGAAAGTCTAATCGAGGCCGATTCGATCTCGACGAACGAGATGAGATATTTTGCTTGCTAAGAAAGGTTAACTTCCTCGCTACTTTCGTCTATCGCGAGACACGCGAAAGTTAAACTTACTGGGACATTAGGCTTGGGTCCCGCGTTAAGTATGCCGATACAAAAGGGGTCGGCACTGGCCCTCTCCAAATAAATCTGCCTTCACCAGACCAGTCTTCCTCCCTCCTCCTCCTCCTTCTCCTCGATCGTGCCTCGGCCGTGGAATCGGCCGATGGTAAAATGGTTGAATTGCGACTTCATTAGCCGCGACTTTGCGCTCGCTGTAATTCCGCTGCGTTCCTCTCCTTTCGTCGCTTCGAAGGCAGAGGATGGTCGAGGAGGAGAGGGGGGAGGAAGAGGTGGAAGAATGGATAAACAGGGTAAAAAGGAGGGGTGAGGGAGTCGTTCGCCACCTCCACCTGCGTCGCCATCCACCACCACCACCATTCCGTGTTTCGTGGGCCGAAAAAGCCGAGCGGAGATTCGACAAAAGAATGGACAGGTACGAGCGAAGGAGAGGAGGAGAGAGGATGGAGGAAGCGTACGTACACGCGTGCACCCAGTGTGTCGACGAGGAGGGGGTGAAGGGAGAATGGTTGGAAGGGAAGGGGCAGGAATGAAAAGCGAAGAAAAAAAATGGAACGTTCCGTAGATCGCACGCCATGGGACGACGACTGGCCCCCCTCTCTCTTTCTCTCTCTCTCTTCCCCCCCTCTCTTCATTCTCTTTGTCCCTCTTATCTTTTCTGCCTCTCCGTGTTTGTCTCTCCCCTGCCCTCGCCGCCTCCCTTCGCCCTCTTCCTTCTCCTTCCTTCACGGCTTCATCCTGTACAGTGCGTGGCGCAAACGCGCGATGATGGTGTCGCGGAACCGCGAACCGCAGACTTCTTGCGACCGCGTTCTCCAACGCCTCTAACTTCGCTCCTCCCGGGGATCTCGTCGAAGATGGTCTTCAAATTAAACTCCTTCTTGTTGAAGAATATCGATCGGGTCTTTGTTTCGGCAATTACGGCCGAGCTGAAACTGGAATACGTTATTACTTGGAATACCTGCATATACTTATACATTATAAAGAAACTTGAAAATTCGAAGGAAAAATTCCCTCGAATATATTATGCAAGATTTATGCAGATATATCGTTTAAGCGAGTTAAAACTGGCGCATCAAGAGTTCATTATTTACTCGAGAGAACCTCGCGACGCATCGAAAAGAGGAAAACGGAGGAAGTCTGGAGGAGGACGAAAAAGGAAGGAAGGAAGGAAGGAAGAAAGGAAGGAGAAAGGAGCGGTGGTGGCAGGAAGAAGGAGGCAAAGGGACGGGGGTAAAAGGAGCGGCAAAGGAGAGAGACGCAGAGAAAGAGAGAGAGAGAAAGAGCAGTTTCATCTCTGCCAAGTTTTCGTGGCGGATAATGGCGAGAATACAATGCACCGACGCGAATTCCAGAAGTTGCGCCGAATGCGGGGCGCCTTTTGATTATCTCGACTGTACCTGGGCTCCTCCGGAGTTTGTATCGAAGAGGAGCGGGGAGGAGGTGCTCGGATGGACTCGCATCAGGCGAGAAGAGGACGAGAGAGGACGACGGGTGGCGAGGTGAACGCGAGAATGCTCGATCTCTGTAGGAAACGTAGGATG